GTGAGGCAGATTGCGCGCTCGAATATTCTGCCACAGTTCAGATGCCGCGGCGATATTCCTTCACATTACAGCTGCTACCTACGTGACTAACTGACATATCGCTACATCTAATATATTCAGCGCTTTAAATTTAATTTTAAATTCGCCTTTAGCAGGGCACTCTCTGTCAAGACCTTTTACCATTGCTGTTGGAGCTGGCTGTTCAGTCCCAGGCAGATGTGAATTATTTTACTTCTTCCGCAAACGAGTTTTTGTTGGACGTACTTAACAGCGGTAACATTTGGCGTGCGACACGATTTGACTTTTTAAAACAGCTTCTTTAGTTGAAGATTCAACAGAAGTTGCTAAGAAGTTCATCTTGTTAATGACCACAATTTATCGTCGTCTGCAAGAGGGTGAACAGAGGTAATAATTTACTTTGCTGCACACTGAAGATGTAATTTGTTGTTCAAACCATTTGCGGCAGTTTGCTGAGTTTTACGCACTTTCTCCAAATTTTGCCAGCACTGTGGATGAACCACGTTGCCTTACGTCCATTTTTGATATCCGCTGCCCCGCGTAATGTGTCTCTTTCTCTTGGTCTATTAAGCCATGATTTGTTGGGTTCTGTTAACTGGGCTGATAATATGAAATGATTACACTGGATTATTTTTGTAATTAATGCATGTCATCAGACCTTTCTGTCTGAGTTTGTAGTGTCTTTAAAATCAGTTCACCTTAATAATTTCATCACATAATTTTCCTAGTTGCCTTGGCTCCCTTAACAGGCCTTTTTATATGCGTTTTCGGATATTGTAACTTCCAAACGATCATAAATTGTGAGATGCTTCGCCCTAACTTGCGATCCTCTACTTTTGACGATGATCGTTGGCATTTTCAGAGTTGATCATTTGGTTAAAACCCACTCTCCCAATCAAAACATGGCGTATGGATTTTTAGGTTAGTTGTTATCTTTTTGCAGTAGGTTAACGTGTATCACATCATTAGAGGGAAACAGAGCACTAAATGCTATATTAGCCGCCCAGCTGTACTTGATTCAATGGCCATCTGTCTGTAGGCATGCTTCTATAATGCATTGATCGAGGGAGATTGGCAACATTAGTACTACATAAGACCCGTAAATCGATGGTAAGAATACCATTTTTCATGGAAGTACATTTTACCTGTTGCTAGAATAAGAAATTCAGAAAATTGACACGCAGCCCGGGAAGTAATGACTTAAATTTTGAGGACTGCAACAATAAACGGAAAACTGGGAGACTCTACTCGCACTCTTGCACCACACTGCAGAAGGTGAACCATTACCACATCAGAAGGAACGCTTCTAAAGATGACCTAATCACTTACAGGAAATTTCTCGAAATTTATCCCTTCGCACTCTCAGTCGTCTGCAAAGAGTAGCGTTTAATAGAGATTATTAGAAACCGAAATGTACCTTGCTATCGGATGGTAGTGATAAAGGTTTGTGGTGCTTATCTTATACACTTGGAGTTGTTCAAATACTGTGCAGTAGGAATGATTAAAAGTTCCACACCCTCTTTCAACAGGTATTATCCTCAAATATTTCTTGGTATGTGTTGGCAGTCGTGGAAAACGTCATTTAGCTGTTAGTTGACAGTTTGTCAGTGAGTGAGCCGTATTAACATCCGGCCTCGCTTGTTTTGTATTTACTCGACAGGCGAGGATCCTCTCTGACAACTGTTCAGTAGAAACGAGGAAGAAACCTATATGGAACGGGGCAGTCTACTATGGCGTGACCACCAAAATGACCTTTATCCTGTAGAATCAGTGTTCGCTTCCCAGGAATGCAAGCTTCCGTAATGCATTGCGTATTTCATATTTCGGAGTAGTTTAGTCGTTTTATACTTACTAGCTGAACGGCTCGCTGCGCAGTTCATTTCAGCGCCGCTCCCTGCCACATAGCAATTCTACATCTGAGGATTCAATAGTCTAAGGTTATAGGAACCCGTGTGACAGTTTGACAATATTTATCCACAAGTATAGGTTGGAAGTTAGACGGTAGGGGTGGTTTGACTATTTCAGTTTTTCGGATCCGTCATTTCTGAAGACAGAAGCAGATAGGTAACATTGACGAGTGGAAGTGCGTTGCTAATAGTGTATTTGGTTGTCTCTCCAAGATTTAAGCAGAATCATTATCGCTTTCTAGAAAATCTCCCTTCATCTTGCTTAGATCAAGGCGATGTTGTTTTCGGTCATCGAGACAGTTGTAATCAGATAGTAAAAACGGTATATAGGCAACGTCAAGGAATGCTGATTTTGATTCGCTGTAAAATGTGCGCAGTGCCATGTGCGAAATGACTATTTTTTTCTGCTATGTCTTGCCAGTAGATGTCGAAAGTAGGAAAAAGAGTTTAACACTATCAGACAGTAATTGACCGTAATGCTGCCTTCATTCCAGCCCATGAGCTTCAAATGTGTTAACGGAAACCCAGC